CACGTTCATTATTATATCATTTACTTCTCACAACTCTGTTGTGGAGTAAGGGGTACCGCGCCCGTTTTCGTCATAAGGAAACTTGCTCAGAGAGGAAGAGTGATTTGCTTAGTCACCCAGCTGGTGAGGTGTGGGTTAGACCTAGAGGTCGGGTCTTCTAATGGCGTGTTCAGCATTCCCCCACGACACTGGCCCGAAGAGAGCTACAGCTGCCTGAAGCCCAAGAGAGAGCAACACAAGCTCCATCCAGGGTCCCTGCAAGGCCGAGCATCAGAGAAGCCACAACTGGACAGGTTGAGATGGTGCTGAGGAGCTGAGTCTGAATTGACCTCCAGCCACTATTTGGGGCAACTTTGATGAGCAATTCAGAACTTCAGAAGGCATAAGGGCAGCAGCCACCACAGCTGGTCTGTCCTCCACTGCTGATTCTTCTAATTAATTGTTCATCTGATACTTATAAGCCTCTGATGGAGCTGCTATCTCCATTAGGAGACCCAGGGTCAGGGTGACGTGTGACTTGCCTGTGGTCACGCAGGTAAGAGGCGGAGAGCGCCGTACCTTGGACAGGTGCATCCACGCCCCAGCCCTCCTGCCACGCTCAGCAGCTTCACTCCAGCACCAGCCTCCACGTGCTCCTGCGCAACCCACCCTCCCCTCATTCCATATGGTCCTGCTGCAGTCCCCACTGATGCTCGGTGCACCTGCATGCAGGCTTTCAAGAGACGAGGCTGTGAGGGCACACCCAGTCAGCAGAACAGAGTGAAGGGGCCTGTGTGGAAAGGGGTGTAGGTGGCAGGAGTAGTCAGAAGGACCAGGGACAGGCAGGGCCAGCTGGGGACCTGCACATCCTCCCACTCTGGGACAGCATTGCCCTCAGGAGTGTAAGGAGCAGACAGACAGGAGGCTGGACCCAAAAAGTAAATGGGCAGCAGGGTCCTAAAGCCCCATGTGCCAGGGTCAAGACAGACCTGGACTAGGAGACCAGGTTCAAATCCAGGCTCTGCTGCCACCCAGCTGACGACCTCAGGAAGATCCCTTCAGCTTTCAGAGCCCCTGGGTCCTCGGGGAAAAGGAGAAGCTCACCACCTGCCCCTTCTTCCCAAAGTCAGGTGTGGCTGGTGGGGTAAAAACAGGAAGGAGGAGATACTTTTATAACAACCCATATTAACTATTCCATAGTGATGCATATATCAAGACATCATAAAGATATACCATTTTTACTTGTTAATTTTAAAAATATATAAATAACTAAATTAGAAAGATGCAGTGAGGGAGGCAGACAGGAGGTATGCAGTGTCATGGATTTCTGAAACCTGCTTATTTTGGTTAAAACTATCCTTTTATTTTATTAAAATAAAACAAAGAAACAAAAATAAAGCAGCCTATTGGTAAAAGGAAAGCACTGTTACTACCATCATGGCACAGTCCACACCCGTCTCAGCTTCCAGAACTGCAATTCATATCGAGTTTCAGAGATGGCTCTGTGGAATCTGTTTCATAAACCACCCAAAGTAACCACCTGCAGGTTGGGAGGTAGCAGCCTGTGGCGATTAGCCCTGGCAGCCCTGGAGCAGAGTCCCCAGGTCCTGTTCCAGGGCTCCCCAGAGAGCCAGGTGGCCTGATTGCTCCAGCAAAACCCTGAGGGGCAGGCAACACCCCCCGGGACTCAGAATCAACCAACTTCACAGTTGGGAAATTCCAATTGCACAGCTCTCTTGCTCAAAACGTACCCATTCCTGCAATTATTCCCAATCTGGGAACTGTGCAGCAAAATTAAAAAGAAGGCTGCCAAGGGAACAGGACTAGGGTAGGGAAGACGCTGCTTCTGACAGAACCTGCAGTCAGTCACAGCTGGATGAAAATCCCAGGTAAAATGCAGTTCTGCAGCTGAGACTTAGGGGGAGGTATAAGTCAGAGCTAAGTCTGTGACACGGAAGCCCTAAGCACTGGTCTCCCGGGGTTTCGCCCAGATCCTACACTCGCAGCTTGGTTTCTGCAGCTTGGTTTCTCCTCCCTGTGTGCAGCCAGGAGGCACCGGCTTCATTTGACCTGCGTGAAATGATCCACCCGCTTGCAACCAGCATTTTCAAAAATGTTTAATTAGTTGCCAGTTTATCTCACATCACGTTAAACATAGGTTTCCATTCCTCTTTAACACTTAGAAGACCGAATGCTGAGTCTTCCCACATGACATGCCCACATTCCCACATGACAACTCGGAGGGGGCCAGGCCCTTCATCCAGGCATGCACACCCAGCTGCTATCGGCCTGGCCAGTTTCACCTGTTTTTGCTTCAGGGCTGGCTTCTACAGGCATTTGAGTTCATGACTCCTAATTGAGATGAAGCATTGTGAATAAATGCACATTTTGGATTACTGCAGGCCAGAGGTCAGGGGCCTGGCTGTCACCTGTTGGCTTCTATAAACCTCTAGTGCACAGCAAGGGAACCAGAAGATCCAGTACGGAAACAAGGTCAGCCATCAGCTGGCAGCATTTACCTGGCCCCATGGGCCACTTAGCCAAGGAGGAGGCCTTCCCCTCTGGAGACAGGAACGCCCCTGTTAACAACTCTGAGGCCTAAACGAAACCACCAACAAAACCATCCTCCATCGCATCTTCAGAGTGCTGACGAGATGACCATAAATGGGTGTGACATTTAAATCCCACACCAATAACAGATGACAGGATAAAGAAAATGTAGCATATATGCACAATGGAATACTACTCTGCCATAGAAAAGAGTGAAATCCTGTCATTGGCTCCAACATGGATGGAACTGGAGGTCATTACGTTAAGTGAGATAAGCCAGGCACACAAAGACAAGCATCACGTGTTCTCATTCACATGGCAGCTAGAAAAAGGTGATCTTGTAAAAGTAAAAGGTAGAACAGAGGATAGCAGAGACTGAGGAGAGGAGGGGGAAGGGACTGATTTGTTAAAGGTACAAAATTACAGCTGGAGAGGAGGAATAAGTTCTAGTGTTCTAAACCATTATAGGATGATGAAACAGTAATATGTAAGTTATAATTACATAACATGCATTATATAGCTAGGAGGGGAATATTGAATATTACCGACAGAAATGATAAATATCTGAGATCATGAATATGCTAATTTGCTAATTACCCTAATCTGATCACTATACATGATATGTAGCAAAACTTCACTATGTACCCCATCAATATATATCATTATTGTCAATTTAAAAACATAAGTGAAATTAATTTTTACAATCCCATACCACAACTGATCAAAGGTGTAGTGGGTATGGGTTCCGTAAGGACAGGCACCACCATGGAATCTTCAGCCCCTCTGAACCCCAGGTGAGGCAGGTTCCCCCATTTATAGCTGGAGGGGGAATGTGAGCCAGTGAGCTGCTTCTGTTAAGAGTATTTGCACTGCGGGATAATAAGAGATTGCTCCCAGTTAAAAGTGGTTCAGCTACCAGGAGAATAACAAGGAGAGCCAATACAAGAGCTACGAGCACAGCCATCCATTCCCCATCACGTGAGCCCTGCTGGAAATTAATTTTTAATGCCTAAATAAATGAATGTGTCAACCAGCACAGTGCAGAAAATCCCCACCAACAAACATTTCTCAGAGTTGAGGCATATTTCCAATGCCTGTAAAACGCAAAGATGTCATCTGAGACATCTAGCATGTATAATCACACTCAGCACCCTCATACCTTACCCAAGGTTCAGATTCTGACTGAATAAAAAGAGGCTAACAAGTCTGATGGAGAAGGAGGATGAGAGAGTCCCATATGCCAGGCAACCAGGGAGACTGGTAAGTAGGAGATGCAGAGCGCAGGACTGTCATAAACAGTAATATTTGCTTGAGCTATCTCTGCTTCTGAAAGAGACTAAATCCCACAAACAGGTACATTCCTGTCCCTGTATCCATCTTTCCTCCCTGTCACGGAGACATTAGAGAGTAAGCGCTGGCCAACTGCAGTGACAAACAACAGTTAAAATCCTGGTGAATCATTAAAGGGATGACTCCAGTCATTTCCAAAGAAGCGGGGAACACAACTTACAGCAGCCACTTTCATGCCTCCACTAAATGCAGGAGAATGTCCCACTTCATTTTCATCTTCCCTATAAAGACAAAGACACACACACACACACACACACACACACACACACACACACACATACATGCAATGTGTCACCCCAACAAGGATTAACATCTTTTTTCAAAAGTAAAATTAAAGGCCTAATCATTTTGGCCTTATATCAGATGCTGCGTGTAGCCAAGCTCACATCAAATCACATCCTAAGAGAAGAGACCAGATTTTGCATTCAGATTTCCATTGCAACTTGTATGCAGTGAATTACTGTAACAGCAACATCTTCATCTCCTGGTAACTGAATCAGCTGCCTGCCATGAAGACTGCATGACGGGAGGCTGTAAAAATATTTCTTTTCTCAGCACTCATATGGGGAGGAAGGGGAGGAATCAGAGTGCCGGTAATGACTCTCACCCAGAGGACAAAGCAATCAAAGACACATTTTAATATGAATTTGTGTCCTCTATTTTCAATATCCCAGTGTCAATTGTGCCAGAAAACCTAATATGAATAGACTACGTATTGAACTGAGACACGAAGGAGAAAAAATACTTCTTAATACAACACTCATTGAATGAACACAGAACGACAGATGCAGGCAACACAGACTGGATCACTCTGCTTCACAAAAATAACCCAATTTCTCTTTATCCCACCCCTCCAAAAAAACTAGCTTTAAAAATAGTGCAAATACCTAACGAGAGGCACACAGAACCCAGTCCTAGCTCACCTATCTGAGTCTCTTCACCTTGCCCAGTGTTTCTCTCTGCCAGGTCATTTGCATTCCTGCAACAAGTTCTTCTGGCCCCCCAAATGTTGTCTGTTCCCTCTCAATGTGCCCGACTCCCCCCAGGAACCCCGTGATGAGAGGCAGCCCGGGGGGCTGGCACTGGTGGGAAGGACTGCAAAGGAACAAGAAGGACCTTACCACTTCTGGGAGCAGCCTAGTTGAGAGGTCATGGATGGCTTTGACCACTATACATATGGATGACAGAAGGAATATCACCCCCAAGATGACACAGGCTCTGTAAAAAACAAAACATTGAGAATCTTAACCGGGAGAACTCCACACTGCTGAAGAGTCTGCACAATTGACAATGACAAAGACACAATCTGGTAATGAACTCAGCTGTAACTTGCCACACCCCCAGGGTGACCACCCACAGTCCAAGGATTGACACTAAGTCACCTCTAGGAGAATGCAATTCAGAGTTTGATCACCAAAGTCAACTTCAGGGAAAAGAAGTCACCATCCTACAGAACCTCATGGCATCCCATGGATGCTGGCGTGGAAGGGTCTTCAAGGCCATGCAGTCTTTCTCCCTTGCCTGGCAAATGTGATGCTTCATTCCTGCTCCAACAGGAAGGTGCACAGTTTAACAGCAGAGTGAAGGCTCTGGCATGAGATGCGCCACGCTCTACCATTTACCTAACTTGTTGTGTGATCTTGATTTGTTGTCTCTCTTAGCCTTGATTTCCTCACCTTTCAAATGGGAATATCTTCCCTACCTACAGAGGAGATGAGACGATGCACAACATAACATGGGAAGCCACTACTGTTAGCTGAAGCAAAGGGAAGTGAACTCTGCCTCTTTTGGATATGATGTGATAGATGCCTTTGCATTTTCCCAACGATGAAAAGGAGAAATGATTTGGTAATGACAAGACAGAGAAACTCTGAAAGGCAGAAATGAGGGGTAAGAAGGGGCACAGTCAATCAAGCCACTCAGCACAGGAGCAGGAGTGGGTTCTCGTGAGGCCAAGGTGAAGTGAGAGGACACAGCTGGGGGCGCGGTGTGGGACTGGCAAAGGTGGCGATGGGACTCAGGATACAGAAAAAGACGTGACAACCCAGACACAACAAATCTCGGAATAGAAAAACAAAGAGTGATGGAAAATGAAGGTACACATGAGGGAATGATACTGTTACAAGGGTTAAAATATCAAATGAAAATGAAGAGGGAGAGGAGAGAGAAAAGATACAAGCATGACTGCAGTGAGGTTGAGAGCATTCGGGTCCCAGCTTGATGCCTCCACCACTGGGCAGCCTCCTCAGCTCTCTTGCCCCAACTATCAAACAAAATCATGTTTCACTATCCACCTTGGAGCCCCGTCTCTGGACTAACAGCACAGCCCCAAAAACTGCTCACCTAACTTTGAGGTGGCATCTACTTATAATCCCAGGAAGCCCGTGGACAGACCCCCTCCTCCACAGTTAGGAGGAATAAAAGCAGGTAAACGAGGTGCTTGGAGTCCACTCAGTCAGCTTCTAAGTCACACGCTGATGTAGGTTTTATTACTTCAAAAGCAAAGACACAAAGAAGGAATCATTGCAGGTTAGAGCAAAACACAAAGAACAGAGATGGAAGGAAAAGGAATGAATGGCTTAGGATACAGCAGAGACTTGGTCGAATGACCAAGTGAGGGATGGAGCATCACCCACAAGGGACACAGGCTCTGCAAAAAAAAATGGCAACATTGAGGATCTTAACTGGGAGAACTCCACCCTGCTGAAGAGTCCACAATTGACAGTGACAAGGACACAGCCTGGAAATGGACACAACTGTAACTTGCCACACCCTCAGGGTGACCACCGCTAGACCAAGGATTGACAGTATGTCACTTCTAGGAGAATACAATTCAGGGTTTGATCACCAAAGTCAATAAGGGAAAGATGTCGCCATCCCACAGAACCTACGTGGATGCTGTGAGCAATGTGGCCCCATGATCCATCAGGGGCAGAAAAGATACTCCAGGCAGTAAGTAGGGACTATTGTAGCTAATGTGCTGCCTATGCATGACAGTGTGCCTGGGCTGGGGACCACAGTCCTAACACTGGAATCAGGGACAAATGGGGCCATGATAGAGTCCTGGAGGAACGAGGTACACCTTAAATGACGACATACTGGAGCAAGAGCAGGATTCCTAGGGCTTGGGGATCATCACTCCCAAAGCAATTGCCTCCTGTTTGGAAGACAGTCCTGGGCCAGCTGTGCTAGGGACCTGAAGTAGCCATTCCTCCCTGTGAGCACATGTGCCATGACAGGAGAAGACCCTAAAATCAGGATAGGCCTCCGAGGTAAGTTTTGCAATGTGGTTCTTCCCTCCATTCACAGAACTCCTGAGTGACTCACAGAGACTCACTCTTTGGTTAAACCTTTCAGGTAAATTCAGTCATCAACTCAGCACTTCCCAGCACTGACTGCGCATTGCACTCACCTAGGGAATTCCTTTTTTTTTTTAGGTTGCCTTGACACCATTCCAGTTCAATTTTATCAGAATTTCCGGGGGTGAACTTGTTTAAAAACTCCCCAGGCAATGCTCGTGTGCACAGGACTAAGTATGACAGGCCTAGAGCCAGGCGAGGTCCTGTCCCTAGGAAGCTTCCACTGTGGGACAAAAGCACAGGACTCTGTGGAACAGAGGCCGAGATGGAAGTGACATCCAAGCTGGGGAGAAAGGAAGGGCTCTTGTGGGACCTAACAGGCCTCGTAGGACATTTGTTTGTCAACCAGCTTTCCCTCCCTGAAAATCGAGTAGGGCAGCCATAACTTGTGTGCTACACTGTATAGGCAATCTGTCACCACATCCCCAAGGGAACTCCTATCTCCATACTCCCCTGAGGGAAGGAAGGAACAAATGCCTTCTTCATTCTGACAGAGAACAGTGGGGATAACGCAGGAATTAGCTCTCACCACATCGCTGCAGCCATGTCTCCATCACACACAAAAGGCAGACGTGGATTCTGTTTACATTTACCCAAGGAGATGAGTATGAAGGATGCAAGGGCCTCATACATCTTTTATTGCTTACCTCCCTTTACTCCAAATTACACCATAAATTCTGTAAGGGCAAGAACTACATAGCATGCAGCAGATGCTCTGCACACAGTAGAGTGGATCAAACATAACAGATTCATCCCTGACTGATCTGTAAGTTTCCCTCCATGGAGTCTGAGGAGGCATCAACCATTTGCCACTGGGGATGGGAGGAGCAAAGAGACTCCTAACCCTTCAGTCACATGTCTGTGGAATAGCCCACAAGGTAAGGCAACTCTGAAATATAATGAAAATCAAAAGAAATTTGTGATTTGGTTTATTAAAGTTGAAATTCACAGAACCATCATCCTATTTTCTTCACCAATATACCTATGAATATGCTCCAAAGTCTTTCAAAAACCCATTCACATTTTTAAATGTGTTACAAATTTAAAACCCACGGTTGTCCCTCCTTCGACGCTGCTGGGAGCCCATGTGGCACAGTGGCTGCAACAGCCCAAAGCAGCTATTATTAGCAGCAGGCACCGTGCTATTTTTTAACCTTTTATTAATATTTATTGTGTTTACACAGCAGCTTTCTCCTCCAGCAGTCAGAGCACCACACATCAGCTCATCAGTCCCCTGGCGGCCACTCACCAGACCCACGTTTTTGTTCTTCTGCTATTTTATGGATGGGGGTGGGGAGAGAGGTGCTTCATAAACACAAGTGGTGAGAAATGGAAGAGTCGAGGATTGGTCAGCTTGCCTAAGGTCGCTCAAGGAGTTTGTGAAGTGCACCCAGAAACAGAACCCCATTCAACTGCCTCCCTCCCAGCAGCCAGCCCTGGTCAACCATCCAGCCACACACACACACACACACACACACACACACGCAAGCTCTGGGCAGCCGCATCACGTGCTCACACCACCACTGCCCTGGGACTAGCGGCCTCCAGGATGCTGATCTGAGCCAGGAGTGAACAGTGCAGATATGACTGCTTCTGCATCTGCAAGTGTGAGCTGCTTCCAGGCTCGGGGAACCAGAGATGGGTGGGGAGAGAAGAACAGTTGTTCCATCAGCACTCCGTGGCCCCAACCTGGAAAGGCCAGACTGGCCAGTAACAAGGGCATTGAGGAACCAGGTCACCAAAAAGAATACGGACTCCTCCCTCCTGCCACAACTCTGGGGGAGAACTTCATGGATCAGAAAGAGGCAAATGAGCTTCACCCCTTCAGCACAGTCCCCCAATCAACCCAGACTGAAACAAAATTTAAATTCCCACTGGGTCAGTGGTTGTCACAGTGTGATCCACAAATCAGCAGCATCCGGTCATTTAAGAACTTGGTGGAAATGCAAATTCTGAGAGAATCCACCCCAGACCTACTTAATCAGAAACTCCGGGGATGTGGCCCAGCAATCTGTGGTTGAATAAGCCCTTCAGGTGATTCTGATGGACGCTCAAGTTTAAGAAGCACTGAATAGGCCGCCTGTGGTGGCTCACACCTGTAATCCGGCACTATGGGAGGCCCAGGCAAGAGAATTGCTTGAGGCCAGGAGGTTGTGGCTGTGGTAAGCCATGACTGTGCCACCATACTCCAGTCTGGGTAATATAGAGTCTCTCTCTCTCTCTCTCTCTCTCACACACACACACACACACACACACACACACACACACACACACACATGCTGAATGACGACACATTTAATGCCTGAAAGGAAGCAATGATTAACAAGCCACTTCAAATAAATTATAAAAGGTAGTTAAGGCCTCCTTTTTTTCTATTCTGCTAGAGACTAACTGTGCATAATGCTGTAAATCTCTAGAAGCATTGGTTTTTCATTTTGAAATTATAAGGACAAAACCTACTGACAGATACTCATAAGCAAAATGATGTCAGATGGCAAGTTTGGTTTCTTGTCAATTGTAGGTTGAAAGGCCTGTGGCTCATGTTAATAAAGCCTGAGTCCTACTCTACTAATTCCAGGTCACTTCCCATCGGATCAAAAAAGCCAAACAGGAGAAGCTTCTCCAGTCACCCTCTAATTTACCGCAGACCTAAACACAAAGTAGCCCTGGTGGTTGACCAATTTGGCCCACAGTTTAACGTGAAGTGGTTTTATTTATCATCTTTCACTCTGGTCTCCAGAACATTTGTAATCTGAGACAGTGCTCAAACGTGAAGCAAATAACGAAAAATAAAAGCCAAGTGGTGTGAGCATACAGCACGGTCCTTATGGCTGCATGGTTCCTAATGTCGGTTTTCTC